AATACTTCAGTATTCTAGAGAAACCATTAAGCCAAGAAGATACTGGATTTTGTTTTTAATAATATTTTTATTGTCTGAGATTTTCATAGTGTATTTTGATCATACCTCCCTCAACTCTTCCCGTACCTTACCTTGCAACCCAGTGAACTTTTGAGTTTTTGTTGTTTTTGTTTGTGTCTCCTCCCAATCAAGTTTATTTGTATTGTCCCCTTACTCTTGGAAGTGGGGCCTGTCCTGCAGTGTGGTGGACACACCAAGGTGTGTGTCATTGAGGAAAGCTAATTGTCCCTCCTCCAGCGGTTATCAAATGCTAATAACTCCTGAGCTAAGAGTGGGACTCTGCCCACTCCACACTACCCATATGCTGGAATTTTGTCTGGATTGAGCTTGTACAGGACTTGTGCACACTGTAGCAATCTTTGTGAGCTTGTTTGTTTATCTCTCCTCAGATGTCCGCCAAACATGGTTTCCTTGAAGTCATCCATCACCTCTCGCCCTTGTAATTTGCCTCCTCATCTCTGAGGATCTGTAAGCCACACAGGGGAGAGATGTGATAAAGACATCCTATGTATATCCAAACATAATACATCCATTGTAGAGCCATGCATAGAACATAAAGACATCTGAAGTAGAGCTGAGCACTGTGGAGTCTTATTCTCAGCACATTGACCAGTTGTAGTTCTCAGTATTAAGTCCCCATGTGTTACAAGGAGAAGCTATTCTGGAGTTTGGAAGACGCATTCTGATCTCAATGAGTCTCCACTGGATCAGAGGTGCCCTTTGCATGCTCTGCTTAGTAGACTGTCAGGTAAATGATGTGTTCTGATTCATGAGACCAGGACTGAGAGCAACTCTTGTTACTTCCTCTGCTCTCTAGTCTGCTAGTGTTGTTTCATGTCCAACTAAAATGGAGATGTAGAAGTTTTATTCTGCAACTACATGACTAACTTGGAAATAAATGGTTACAGAAGTATTCTTTCTGCCTCTGAGGGCCCGTTGAAGACCAGAGAGACTGTAGGATGGTGTTTATGTGGTGTAGATAGGACGTGATAGCTCCTTCCCATTGGCCTTAGTGTTGTGTCCAAACCATTTCAGTACTCAAGGCATGGTGTTAACTAGAGTGAGCATGCTTTTAGGTGGAAATTCTTGTTTTCCTTTCTGTGTACTTTTAACTGTCAGTGATGGGTTACTGAATATTGATGGGAGGTATCATTTTTATTAGGTTTCATCTTCTGGATAATATAGTAATTTCTGTGCGTACAGTCTGAGTTACGGAAAACATAAAAAAATCAATGAAAGTCTTGATTCAGTATCTATGTGGGTAACTTTATGTCACTTTTACGCAGTTTTAAAGAAGAAATGCACTTCTCTACTCTCTCTCTCTCTCTCTCTCTCTTTTTGTTAATTTACAGGCTTTTTGATACTTTATGTGTCTTCTCACCCCATAGCATGAGTATATATTAGTATGTAAAGAAACATGAAACCATGTGATGCCTCTGTAATTCCAGCACTTGAAAACAGAGGCAGGAAGATAAGGGGTTCGTGGCCATCCTCAGCCACATACTAGGTTTGAGTCTAGCCTGAGCTATGAGACATTCTGAAGGGGGGGGGAAGGGAAGAATGAAGGAGGGAAGAGAGAGAGAAACTAATGGATTTATAAGACCTGGGAAGGGAATAATACATTTTGTAAAAAATATGAATGGGCCAGCAAGATGGCTCAGCAGGTAAAAATGTCACTTGCAGCCAACAAACCATGTTGTCCTAAATTCAGTCCTCACATGGTAGCAGGTGAGAACTGACATCTGCAAGTTATCTTCTATACTTGTGTGCACATCCCCCCCCACACACACTTTAATCAAATGAATGAATGAGAAGAGATGGGGCTTCTGGCAGTAAAGAAACTGGGGCCTCACCGTATGGTAAACTTGACAGTCCTTCATTATACTAATCACTCCTACTTTCAGCAATGTTTATAAAACAGGTTTTAAAATGCTTATAAACCAGTCCCTTTTGTGGGCATAGGTTAATTTCACTTCCACTTGGGAAGTGTGCTTAATGTATACATAGAGGAGTAACACTTGAAACTAGCTATCAGAATTGTGTCAGCTAGTGGGTAGAAGGAACACAGAGTGGGTCTGTCTCATGATTTGAGAATTCTTATTGAGGAGACGCAAATCAAATGTAAAAATACATTTGCTCACAAAACATTGCACATATAATCCTCATTGACCCATAGGAATTTAGAGTGGGAAAGGAAAGCAAGGCCATGAGTTTTCAGTTTTAGTATCTAGGTTTTCTTTCATCCTTAACAAACACTGTATTGTTTCTGTCATGCTGGCGCACAGATTCCCAGCACTTGAAAGGGAGAGACAGACAGATCTCTGTGAATGTGAGGTCAGCTTGACCTGTAGAGTGACTTCTAGGCCAGCCAGGGCCTTATAATGGCACCCTGTCCCTAAATAAATAAATAGTATTATTTTAATTGGTAGATCTTTATTGCTGTCAATCTGAAACTGGTTTTAATTGCAGAACTGTCATCCAAAATATATGTTATCTTAAACCTAAAATGAATGCCACAAATAAGTAAGGGACCGTTCCACCTCTCCAATCCTTAGGTAACAGGTAGAAAGTCATAAAGTAGCAGGAGTAGAGCTCCCATAGACAGTGCTGGTTATTACTCAGTCTTCTATATTATGCGTGTCTGCGTTTGATTTACTTAAACCTCCCATTTGCTGCTTTGCACTCTCTCTCATTAGACTAGGGGTTGCTAAACTCTCAAGGCTAGAAGGTGCTACCACTCTTTATCTGTAAGTAGTCATACCAGAGCATCTGAATTGTGCTTAGCGAAAGCCAAGATGATAATAACAGTGGTGCATGGGGGACACACCCAGTTTCTTTTGCTTTTTCTGTCCTTGTATCTTGTACAGCTTTCAGCAACCACCACTTTGTTTTGCACAGGGCTCTTCCAGTTAGTGGTGACCAGGTCATTTAGTTAACTAAACAAGCCTTTCACAGCCAGCTTTTGAAGCCTACTCCCCTATGGGTGAGTTAGCTCAAAGCCTTTTGTAACCGTAGCCTCTCATATAACCTGTGAGGTGAGTCACAGGAGGTGTTATAGCTCAGAACAGTCACTGTGTTTGTGGTAGCTCTACATTCACTGTATTGTGGGGAGTTCTTGTAGTTATGTTGTGGCCTGGGAAATCTGTAATTGTTGTGTCCACCTGAGGAAACGTGAGGCTTGTGTGTGTGTTTTCTATCATAGTTTTTTTTTACCTGTAATCTATGGTTTTCCGGTTCAGAACCAAGCAAGAAGAGCAGTCTAGGCAGTTTTCAAAGATTAAGAATTTCCCATAGGAATTCAGAATGTGGGAGAGTAAACTTTTTGTCATGAGCAATAGCTACATTCAAACCACAATGATGTGGAAGAGAAGCAGAAAACACTGGGGAAGGAAGGATGGGGTGGGATGGAGGCCAACGCCCCAGAGCCTTGTGGGCCAACAAGACTAGCTGAAGCCATCAGCTCCAGGTTCAAGGGGATACCCTGTCTCACAGAAAGACAGTATCAGTATCTGGCTTCTGCATGCCCACACACACGTGAGCACACCTGTGTAGACCAGGTAGGGAGGGAGAGATTTAGAAGCAGGGTGGGTACTGTTTAAACTACTTCCTGTCACTCCAGGGATTTTTGCATGACACCTGATATAGGTATATATAAAATAGGTTTACAAATCAAGCATTTATCAACAAGGATCTTAAAGAATTTATTTTTAAACAATCCTTTGGTAACTTATCAAAGACAAAAGCAACCTGTATATTAATGAGATAGCTATGCTTCAAGTTTTTGTGTGAGGAATTAAATGTTGCTGAATATTTATTAATATAGGACATAGAATATCAACACTTTGCAGTTAATGATTTTATAATTGTCAATTCTGAGAACACTACATAAATATTTAGTACAAAATAACAAAAATATGTCAGACATTATTGGAAATTCTGCCTTAATCCTAAGTGAAAATTTATTGAAAGTGTATTTGTGCAAGTGTGTGCAAAACCCATTAGCTTTTTGAACAGCAATTTTTAAAATGAAAATTTCTTATGGTATAATATAGACATATACTAATTTAATACTCCTGTGCTGAGAAATGAGGGTAAAGGTCTCTTACAACTATGTTTTCCATAATTAAGCCATTGTGTTTCTTAACACCAGAAGCCTTTGTGTGAGCAGTTAAAACACTGCAGGTCATCATATAAATAGTTGGAGCAGAGGTGTTGTGGGCCTTTGCTGTCATATCATGTTGCAGTGAGGAAAACAGTACAGAGTACAGATGCTGTTTGCTCAGGCCTGGCAGGAGTGACATGTCACAATGGAGCAGGCAAATGCTGCCTGAAATACCCTCATTGCACACAGGGTTTGCAATTGTTTGTGTTGGTGTTTTGTTTTGTTTTTTTGTATTGTGCATCCATTTTACTGTGGCCAAATACATGTGTCAGATTTAAGAACTTATAAATTAGACATGCCTTTGAAAGCATTCCTATTTGTTGGATTTATTCTTGTTTTTGGCTTTTCCTTCCTTTTTTCCCCCCTGTGCTACAGATGGGTGTGCTTGTTTGCTGTGTTTGAACTCGGCTGATTTGAGGGGATGGTTGATAACCAGTCTTTGTAAACTGGAAGTTGGTTTTGATTAAATGCCACCTGTATTAGTAAAGCATGTTATAGTTTCTATCCTTTAAAAACATCTGTTTCAGTTAAGCTCAGTCTGTGTTCAATAGTCGGGAAAGTAAACATTTTCTCCCAGGTCACTCATGTATATTTTAACTGCAGTTTCTATATGAATTTCTCCTATTTCCAGTGTGATTAGGAAGATATCTTGGTTGCTCTTCTCTTCTCCCATTGAAGCTTGTCCCTTTCCCCTCTCTTCCTCTCCTGTCTTTTCTGTTGATTTACTTACTCTTCTCAGCTGTCAGTGGAGTTACTGTCTTCCTGTTTCCACATTCAGGTAGTGTCGGTGGCTGAGTCTCACCGCAGGATCGATGCTTTAAACACTGAAGAGCTGCGCACACTCTGCAGACGCCTCCAGGTGCCCTCCAGCCCCTCTGTAGTTTAATCTCCTCCTTCATAGAGTACCTCTCCATGTGTGTCCTTAGTGTCCTTCCTCAAGACAAATCTCATATAGATGGGGTTGTCTTCAGTGAGGCACTAAAATAAGCCACCAGAAAAATAAATACATCCCTCTTTGTCTTAAAGATGGTTTTACCTTGGAGAGCTACTTATATTTCTTTTTTATTTTTGCCTCTTTGCTGTCTTCTTTTCATAATAATTTTCAGTCACTTGAGAACTATTCTCATCACTATGTATTTCTTTGAGCTATGAGTTTTCATTTAATTTTGACATTGGGAGATCACTTAGTTTTGTGAGTGAACATTTATTGACTAAAACCAGAAAGATACCGGGTGATAGGAAAATTAGGTATTCTCTCTTCAAGGCTATTTTGACTGATCAAAATCTTAATGAGACAAATTGGTTTTGTTCTTGAGGCATTCTTGGTTGGTATTGGAAATGCTTTGGGGTAGGATGGAAGCCATCTGAGCTAGATATATTATTTAAATTTTCTGAAACAATCCTTGTGTTGTTGAGAAAGACAAAGTAATAAAATTGAAAACTCATTTTTCAGTTTGTGTTTTCTTTTCTTTTCATGAAAGTGTGCTTTGCTTTTGTTGCTTTTCTAGATTGACTGAACAGTTCTCTTTAACTTTCCCAATGCTGCCTTGGATTTCTGTTTTGCTCGGTCTTAACTTTTCACATCATTGCAATAAAGGTAAAATATGATGATGTGAAAGTTCTCATATTAAGCTCCTCATCTGAAACAATACAGTTCTAGAACATGTATTGGCTGGAAACCCATTCCATCCAGACACGGCAAGAGATATGTCAAATAGCCAGGCTTCCACTCCTGAGTGGCTTCAGTCTGCGCCCTCTGCTGCATTTTAGTTATCTGCTCCAGGCGAATTCTGTGGGGTTTAAATATTTCATCAACAATAACTAGGATTACTGTGTTTTACATCCTAAAATTAATACCAAATGTAAGCACTAACAATAGATTGTAAAGCAAGTTTTTAATTATTATTTTTTGTCATTTTATGAATACCAGTGGTCTTATTCTATCAAGTAAGTGCAACCAATGTATCTAACCTTTGTTCACAAACAAATTAACTTTAATATTTATTGTGTGGTTCCAGTAGATGAAAAGTAATTGTTTTAATAAGTCAAAAATAGAAGGCAGTTTTACAAAATGGTATCAAATAAATGCACCCCAATGAAAAGACATTTATCATTTTTAGTCTGCCATTCTTTATAATTTTAATGCAAGAAATTCTACTAGTAATTTTGACAACTTTTGTATTTTGTATGAAAAGAATATTAGCATATATTTTAGAGCATTTAGTTAAAAAGCTCCCTGGCCCCCCTTTGTCCATAAATGCTAAGCTATGCCTGTAAGTTTCCTGTCACCCTGAAATAGGAGGCGTAGCACTTCTTGGCAGTTCTTCGTCTTGTAGTGGATGGAGTGTACTTGTTCTAAACTCTTATGCTTCTGGCACACAGTTCTAGGATGGGTGTCCTTTGCCCTGTGGAATCTTTAGCCACCTGTGCTCAGTGAAGTTCCATTTAACTCAAAAGGCTGAAATTTGCAGAACAGGTCCCAATTGTATACTCACACCCTGCTGCTGTTTGCTATTTTAGATCACTACAAGGGAAGACATCAACTCAAAGCAGGTTGTTCCAGCAAAAGCCGACCTGGAGTCTGAAGCTTTCCGACCAAACCTAAGCGACCCCAGTGAACTCTTACTGCCTGATCAGATTGAAAAGGTATGCCATGTCACCTCTGGCATCTGAGTGTGTGCGGTGAGAGGGTGTGTGCGGTGAGAGGGAAGCAGCCTCCAGCTACTCTCCAGCTGCAGAGCTGCTGCTGCTGTTCCTCTTCATGAAGAGTAAGATGGCAGAGCAGAGCGACTCCTGCAGTGTTGCAAAATTCTGGCAGGGGCAGAGTGACACAGGGGAGGCCAGTGTTTGCTTTCCCCTTCTGATTTGTAAGGCAGGCTCCTAGTATGGAGCCTAAGCTGGACTTCAGACTCCTGCCTTCCCAGCCTTAGCCCTAGTGCTAGGATGCCAGTGTTCACCACATCTGGCACTCTTTGGTTTGGTGCATGCCTAGTTACATGGCCTGTATATGTTACCTTATGTATTTGTTATCAAAGCTCTAGAAATTAGAGATTAGTATTGGGCATACTTTTGTAAGTGAAGAAATTTTTCCTATAGAGACATTAATTTATTCAGTGCAATGTAGCTATAAAAGATTTTCAAGCCTTGATAATCTGATGCCAGATTCCATCTGAATATTTAGCACAATACAAGCGATAAGCAAACTATATTTCTTATCTCTGTTGGCATTTTTGATTGGTGTGACTCATTTTCTAGTAGACAATGTCATTTCTTAATGAGAAGTGTGTAGTTCCTATTGAAGTATCATAACCAGTGAGAGGACAGTTTCTAAAGTTTCTTTCTTTGCCCGCATTTTATATGTGTAATTAAGTTCCAGCTGTTGCTGCATGCAGTCACATAAATATTGCTGTTTGTTTCTTCAAGCTTACAAAGCATCTTCCACCAAGAACCATTGGCTACCCATGGACGCTTGTATATGGTACTGGGAAGCATGGCACAAGTTTGAAGACCCTTTATAGAACAATGACAGGCTTAGACACACCAGTGCTGATGGTTATTAAAGACAGTGATGGACAGGTATGGAAAACTGATTTTGGAGATCCTTTGTCCCATGGCAACAACTTTTAGCATACATATTTGATAAAGTATATTGTTGTGCATAGTTTTTATTGAGTGTTAGTGTTCTAGAGGCTAAATGTAAGCATGCTAACTAAGCATTTGGTGTTAAAAAAACAATAATATGGTAGAGAGAATTTGAGCATACCAACATCTTTAGAGGTGAGCATGAAATGCTAGGTATATTTCAAGTGCAGCAAAAGTATTTATGTCTGTGAGGGAGATAAGAGGGAGCCTTACAGAAAGAAGAAAATTGACAGATGCCTAAAAATGAGTAGACATGTAAAGAAACCTTTTGCATTTATTAGTTGAGGATTTCATGTATATACATGATGTGTATTGTTTCTTTTCAGCCACTGATACCCACTGTTGTCTGTGTTGTACTAACTTTTCTCTTTCCAAAAAGTCCCCTCCTCGTTTCATATCTTGTGGGAAGTGGGTTGTAAGTCCCACTGTCTTTCAGTAGGCCTGTTTGCATCAGCACAAGCTGGGATATATTTGGAGGATGGGCCACCTACTGTGGCTATACCACTGAAGAAAATGGCTCCGAGGTCATTGCACAATAATAAAAGTAAAGTCACAGCTAGAAAAGAGAAACACTGAACAGTAATGAGAAGATGGAAAAGAAGTATCAGTTAAAGAGAACATGCTGCTACTAGTCCTCTGTATTTTGTTATGTGTCAGGTATTTAACTAATTGTCCAATGGTTGTTTAAATCATCAAAAGCCTGCAGAGATTAATAGTCATCCCTACTTTATAGCTGAGTTAACTTGCCTCAGTTGATATACCCAAGAGAAGGTATGAGAAGCAATGAAAACGAGTCAACTATTGCTCTATTCCATAGTATATGGGTTTGTTGAAAACATAAGACTGGTTTGAGAGTCATACAGTAAAGGGTTTCTTACTTATGACTCCATGCATAGAAAACTCACATGAGCAAAACAAACCTATGATGCTGTCAGACAGCAGCTTCCTCCAGAAGTCGGGCTGATGAGAAGAGGTACACAGAGAGCTCTACAAGTACTGGTGAAGTCCCTAGCTTGGTCTGAGTCTAATACATGGGACTTTATGATAATTTTAATTGAACTACACATTTAACTACACCAAAGGACTTCTAGATTAGAAGGCATGTATGTACCACATATAGACTGCATTTTTGTCCTCAGTGTAGTTACTGTATCTTTCCAGACTTCAAAGCTTTGTACTTTTTCCACTTTGTACTCAATTGGAATGTGGCATGTACAGGATCTTGTCATTTCCCCTTAAGGAGACGTTGTGAAAACTACTGTGTCTTGCATTGAATCAACTGTACATGATGGAGAGAGTGCAGATGAAATACATTAGCAGTTTTGTCACTGACCATGCCCCTTTTATCCATAGGTCTTTGGTGCACTAGCATCCGAGCCATTTAAAGTAAGTGATGGCTTTTATGGTACTGGAGAAACCTTTGTTTTCACATTCTGTCCAGAATTTGAGGTAAGAAAAGTTATTTCAACATTGCACGTATATGAAAAGGAGATAGTATGAAAACTCCATAGAACATATCAACTGATAAATTATAGTTGTTACAGATTTTATCTACATTTATGCTTAAGATCAAATCTCTTTATGTTACATATAGCATGTGATAAAATATGATTATCTATTCATTATTTGCAATGAAGTGTGAAAGCTTTATTGAAATTTGTGACCACAACAGTGAGTCTTCTAGTAATGTGCCCAAGTGGCAAACACGAAGAGAAAGAGTAAGCTTTCCTACCTTTTAGGAAACATGGAGGTGTTTCTTTTGTCACATATATGCAGATCTACAAGAAGACTATTGTAAACATCAGGGGATGGGTACTCTTAATAAAGGAATGGCCCATAAATGTCACCATCCTAAAACTGGAAGACAATGGTATCAGCCAGCATGTGTTGGCATTGTTGAACAGTGTAAGCTTAGGACAAGGCTCTTGAGAAGAGAGTGAACGTGTGTGAGCACGTTAAACACTCTGAGCTGAGACAGCTTCCTGAGAAGAGGGAAAGAAAGGGATGTTTTCAAAGAAGCCAAAGAGAAGGGAAACTGGGTTTAACCTAAGTACCAGATTGCTCTACCAAGAGAAGCCCAACATGAGAACCAATGGGAAGGAGCCTGAGCTAGAGTGTTCAATCCCTATGAATTTCATGACCTAATAATACACAAAGAATAAATAAAATCTTAGATTTAGATAGATGTGTGTGTGTAAGTTCATAGACAATAATATTGAAAAACATGGTAAAGATGAGGCCCTGGGGTTATACTACTTAGTCTAGATAAAATTCCTATAGAATATTAGAATTAAACATATAAGAATGTAATGTTGGGGTTAAGGAAACATCATTGGTTAAGGTCCTCCTCAATCTTGAGGACCTGAGTTTGCACCTCCCCACCACCCACAAAAGCTGGACTTGGCCTCATTTGCTTATTGCCTTGGCAGTAGAGGACAAGGGGGCTTATCCTGATAGCATGGTAGCCAGCCACTGTTGCTAAGTTAGTAAGCCTTTGCTTTACTGAGATACCCTGCCTCAACTCTATGAGGCTGAGAGCGGGAGAGGAAAAGCCTAATGTCTGGTCCTGCCCTCACCAATATGGCATGAACCCCTTTCTACATTTATGCATGTTTAAAATACACAGACAAATGCCTGTTAATGTCTAGTTTTCTTTTCAGATTTTTCAAGGGTTTTGATTTGGAAAGTCACAAGCATTGTTAGTCTAAAAACAGGAAATTTTAATCCACAGGAAATATCTTGACCATGTAGCAATGTTCAAACATATTTATCTTCATGGGAGAAGCAACATTAATGTCAGAAGAGAGAAGTATGTGTGAAGAATTATGGTCTGGGGAATAGGAGTGGAGCAGTCACCCATGTCCTTTAAAATGAATCAGAAACATTGATACCCGAAGGCCCAGAGCTTTTTCTGCTGAGCTTTGATGCTATTGTATCTGTGTGTGAACTCCCGAGTCTGGGAGAACTATTCAATGACAGTTTTCGACTATATATTCAGCCCTTTTGTTTTTGTTCATATAGGTCTTTAAGTGGACGGGAGATAATATGTTTTTTATCAAGGGAGACATGGATTCATTAGCATTTGGAGGTGGAGGGTAAGTCTCATGAACATTTCAGTGTGAGACTCTTAAAGAATATGTTAGATTATTTATAAAATAAATCATCTTTGGAAATTCTGACATTAGGATCTAAACTTGTATATTATTGCAAATTATGTTTCTAAGGTACTTACTAGAATATTTTATGTAGTTGGTAAAATTTTTTTTTTTTTCTTCATTTTAAGATGCTAGCTGATTTCCATTAAGAGCTATTGTTTGCTTTAGGTGCATTGATTCTTTGAAGTTTGAAATTTAACTACTCTAAATCCTTTACTGTCTTGACTATTCAATTACACATGATAGTTTGCTTCTCGTTCATTATGTAGGACAAAATCTATAGTTTTCTTTCAGTTTTTCTCTAATCACCATTTGGATCTGTGTTTTAGACAATTATAAAATTTTATTTCCTGTAATAAAGTTTAATGACACCATGTTCGGGGTTTTTGTTTCTCTTCAATAGTATAAGACCATTTATTTTACTCTTTTAGCTTCATATTGCCATGAAAAGCCCTTTTTAAAAAACTACTCTGATAACTGATTTTTGTTTTTGTCTTGTTCGCTTGGTAGCGTGTGTTTCTCAAACAGTGTTCACACTGTCCTGTCACACCTGTCTTCTGTGTTGTTCCCAATGCTTGATAAAGAATCCCAGAGTCATTGTCTCTTGTCCTTTTAGTTTTTTTCTGTGGCTCTCTACCAAAAAAAAAAAAAAAAAAAAAAAAAAACTTCCAGCATTGTTTTCTCAGACAGCATGTCAGAGAAGTAACTCAACAGAAATACTAGGTGCTCTTCCGGATAATGTTTTTAATGGCAAAATAATTCTGTCTAGGCATCTAGAATAAATAAGCTGCTTTTGCCATGCCTTTAACAGTAACCCTTATTTTATTATAGATGATAAAAATGTGAACACCTGCAAGAGAACCCGATTAAAACTGTACAGCTAGGAGAAATGCCTGGGGGTGTGGGGTGTGGTTCAGTCATGGAGTGCTCACGTGAAGTTTAGCCGCTAGCACTGCCCTGAGCGAAAAAAAAATAAAACAGTAAAATAGTAAAGAAATACTTATTATCCCAAATGCCATAAGCTAATTGTATATGAAGTAAATTTTAGTGTGCTTAATTTATTTCTTGATGTGTATGATATATAATTTTATAATGGGATAAAAGACAAAATTCTTGCTTCTTTGTCATTAGGAAAAGGAATAGGGGAAGATTTAGAGAAGTTTATGGTACTGGAATTAGTGGACACTAAAAATGCTGATTAATTACTTTATAATCTAGACTGTGAATGTCAGTAGCTGTTTTGTTGTGTTTCAGAGGAGAATTTGCCCTTTGGCTTGATGGGGATCTCTACCATGGACGAAGCCATTCTTGTAAAACGTTTGGGAATCATACACTCTCTAAGAAGGAAGATTTCTTTATCCAAGACATTGAAATCTGGGCGTTTGAGTAAATGCAGTGCTCTCGGTCTTAGCAGGACATCGGCCCAAACCTGAATGGACAAAGCATTGTTTGGAATGTTCAAGAAGCAATACAATTAACATGTCATTTGTGCTTTCAAGTCAGTCGTTTTGCCATTTACTACAGCTATAATTTTGAAGTTAATTTTTCAAATCATGTTTCTGTCCCAGAGTTCTTTGTTTACACCATGGCCCGGGTCCCTGTGGTATAACAGCTGGGTGGAGTTTGGTCAGCATATTGCAGCATTTTGATCATAGAGGCCGCCACATTTTCAATTTATGTCCTCTCAGTCTCCTGATTGGATGGTGCTCTGTTGTTCAACCTTTTTTTTTTTTTTTCTTTTTTTCTTTTTTAAAAATCTGTAGTTTCTTTTTATAGAGCAGTATACTTGGGGTATTGAGGAAATGGGATGGAGATACTTTTGTATCTGGTGGAGTTGACAAGAGTGACATTTGGACCTGCTTATCATTTTCTTCTGAGAAACAATATGCCAAAAGAATATCTGCTTCATAGACCTCTTCTAGTTCTAATTCACTACAGCATTCTCTTTATTCATGTTGTAAACATTCTCAGTTTCATTTTAAGACAATTAAATTTGAAGAGAAGTCTGATTGGCATAGGCTACAGCACACATGATATGCGGGTTTGGGCGCATGTTTTCATCACTGAATTGTCAGATAAAGAGTTACAAATTGACAGAGGGAAATGGGAATTCGATGATTCTATTGGATTTAATATATTAAGCAAGTAATACTACTTACATATTTGTAGCTTAATAGGGCATTATCATAGGTACAAAAACTAAAACCTGCATATTTCTTCAACATTGTGTCAGATACACTGTTTTACAGTTCTGTTGCTTTAGCCTTGTTGCATACCAACTCCCCCAAATACATTTTTTTTTCTGCTCAAAAGGAAAAAAAATTGTTTTGAAATAAAAGTTTGTTTTTTTTAAAGTGGTATATGTTATTAGTTACCATTAGCATCTGCCCTTGGGAAAGGGCAGAGACTACTAGACAATACTGTAACTCAGTAGACTTGGTGAATGTGCAAGCTTCTGTCAAGTGGCCTCAAAACACGAAAAGGTAGAATCAACTAGCAGCTGTATCTTCTCTTGTAGGAAACCAACAATAAGCCATTGTGGCAACATTCATCAGTTCAATTTCAGAGCTTCATCTTATGCAAAGAATAAATCCTGCTGTTATACATGTGACAGTGACTCTGTGCTGAAAATCCAGCTGCTCAACACAAATGTTGTATATCTTGTAAATTGATGTTTAAAGATAGTTTTGTTCTTACAGAAAGTGTTGACTGCCAGGTTGCTTATAGCACTTTAAATTATTCTGAAAATGAAATTACCAGCCACATATGTTGGCTTAAGTAGTTTTAGTTATATAACTTAAAAATACCTGGTTCTTTTGGGAAAATTCTAGATACTTCCCTAAAGAAAGCATAATGCTAATCAAAAATCTGGTGTTCTGACATGTTGTTTCTGAAGATGAACAGAAACACGGGGCATCATTCCCTCGTCTGTGTATAGCTCTCATTACAAGTTAGGTAGTAGTGTCTAGGTTAAATGTTTATAATGTAGGGAATTGTAAATAAATGTACCCTTTCTCCTTTGGTCTTCCACAGCAGTATTATTGTCTTTGTGGAGGTGACTAATCATAAATCTTTAAAACATCCTGTAATGGATTTCAACTACAACAAGGTCATAGAGATGTATACCAAATAAAATTAAATGCATAAATGCAAATGAGTTTGGATTTATTCAATAACCAAGTTATTCCATATCTAAGAACTGGCAGTAAACATTCCACTGTCTTCTGACAAGTACCCTGCTAGCACACTGGGTTGATGCGGCAACAGGAACTGATAGAGGTTTGAATTCAGTTAGAGGCAGCTGCTGTTTAAAATGGAGAGTCACTTACTGGCAGTAATGCAAGGGGTTTGAAGTATTGGAGGGGAGAGAATGCATAACATAAATCCCGGTACTGTGAGAAGCCCTGTGCAAGCACCAAGCACTTTTTAATCTCATGGAGCTTTTGAGAATATTAGCATGGAGAAATAACATGGACAGATGTGTGCCTTAGAAAAAAATATTTGTGAACAAAATAGATTGATAGAGGTAAAAGCTAGAGATGGGAGGAAAAATAAGCAAGTCTATTGTAAAATCCAGAGGGGAAGATGATGAGGTCTCAATAAGAACAAAAATAGTGGTAAAGAAAGAAGTGTAGAATTCAAAGGGGTTTAAGGATTGGGCTTGACAAGAGCTGGCTAACACCTTGGTGTCAGCTTTAAAGATAGCTATGACAAAATTGTGTGTGTGTGTGTGTGTGTGTGTGTGTGTGTGTATGTGTGTGTGTGTGTGTGAACTTCCCAAAATATAGGTAAATAAATTCTTGAACATCCGTAACATTTTGACTTGAGAACTCACTAGTGTTACTGTCTAGTTGCCAGTGTAAAAGGGGGAAGAATGCTTATGTAGGTGTTGACGTTCATAGAATTTAGCCCCTAATATAGTATGAGAAATTATCAATTTGAAACATTTGATGTTCTATTCCAAAATATTAAGTTTTAAAATCATGATTTCCCTGTGCAGGAAATGCCCTTGAAGATTATTAATCTGATTTAAAATAGGGCTCTTGAAATAATTTTTTTGTTTTTGTTTCTGTTTTTGTTTCCATCAAAGTAATATTAACCAGCACAAGAAAGGGCTCTGAACTTCCTTCCTGAGTTAAGAGAAAAACAAATTGGACCTAAAACATTGAGACAAAATAAATATATACAAGTAAAAACCAATACAATTTTAAAATGATACAAAACATTTTCTGAGAATAATCAGTTCTACTTGTTAGAAAAATTAACGTAAAGAACAAAAGATTGCTAGTAAGAAAAGACTAAAAGTATAATCACAGTATAATATCTTGTATCAAGAAACTTGGCAGTGTGCGAGAAATAGAGAAACATTTTGGACAGCGTCATATGGAAGCCTGGTAAGAAAATTAAGAAATAAATAATGTGCAAAATTTGAAACTATCAGATAGACAAAATCTTTCTTACAAACCTTTCCAGGCAGGTAATTTTAGGTATTTTAAGTAAAATTAATGGCAGGCTTAGATATAGCCTTCTAGAATGTAAACGAAGTTCCTTTTTGTGTCCAGAATGTTCAGACTTTATGAGCTTTTTATTCAGACATTACAAGTTTTGGTGGTGGTGGTTTAAAAGCTCCTAAAAGTCAAAACTAAAAGCTGATATATTCTGGTACATTCCGCTAAAGACATTAGCTCTCTTCTCTCCACTCATTTCTTCTCATTATTCCCTTTTTTCCAAAATATCTTGATGAACATTTACACATTTTACAAGCTAGCTTGCCTGCACAAGCATTTCTCTAGTTGACTTTTACCTGCAAGAGAAATTTTGGGAGTAGAAGTTACTCCCAAAAGAATAGGGATGATGTAATCTTGTCAGGGACTGGCATGTCCCCCATATCTGAGCAGGAGGTAATACAGTGTGATGATGGAAGCTGTTATGAAAACCTGAAGTGCTCGAGGTCAGCCTAGAAATTAAGTCAAAGCCATTGGCTATACACTATGAAAAATGTCCTGGGTACCAGCAGTGAAGTGGAGATATCTGTGCTAAGGGACCACTTCAGCCAGGGCTATTTGCTTTATCTTTTTTTTTTTTTTTTTTTTTTTTTGATAAATCTATGGATTTATTTTAACTTGTAGTAAAACCCACTTTACTGCAATTATAGGGTTCTTGGCAAGTAGAATTTAGAATCTGATAACTTGTATTTTTTTTTAATTTTTTACATGTCAATCCCAGTTCCCTCTCTCACCCTCCCTCCCTCCCATCCTCCCTCTTACCGTCTTTCCCCCTCACATGCACCCTGAGCACCATCCCCTTCCATTCCCCCACCCCCATTCCACATGTAGGGCTATGCTATCCAGGTGGGGTCATGTAGATCTGTCAAGTCATTTGAAGTAGGGACTAGGACTTCTCTCCTGTCTCTAGGTTAAGGGAGTGTCCCCAAGGTCTTTTGTGCACCAGGAATACATTCTGGTACCACTGTCTGAGGTCTCTTAGACTGCTCAGTCCTTCTAGCTGAGACCCATATTCAGGGGGTCTGAGTCAGTCCCATGCTGGATTCCCAGCTATCAGTCTGGGGGACCAATTAGCTCCTTGGTTCAGGTCCACTGTCTCTATGTGTTTCTGCACCCTGGTCTTCTCCCTCTCTGAATCTAGATTCTAGTTTGACTCAGTGTTTAGTTATGGGTGTTTGCTTCTGTTTCCAGCAGGTACTAAATGAGGGCTCCATGATGGTGGATAAGTTAGTTATTGATCTCACTATCAGGAAAGGACATTTATGATAGCCTTTCCACTGTTGCTCAAATTGTTGGTTGGAGTCAGTCTTGTAGGTCTCTAGACCTTTCTTTAGGTTCAGTTTTCTCTGCAAACCAATAATGGCTCCCTTTTTTATGTTCTCTCTCTTCTGTCTTCTATTCCTACCCTGACTCAATCTTCCTAGTCTCACATGCTTTCCCCTCCTCCCCTTCTCCTTCTCCTGGTTCTTTCTCACTGCCCCCCCCACTTCCCATGTCACTTGCTTTATCTTACAATGACTCAATGAAATGACTGAGCAGAAGGGGTGTAACAGAATTCTGGATTACATAAAATTATATCTGTACCATGAAGAAATGGCTCTGGTAATTCAACATCATTTCTGTTGATAATTAGGACAAGCTGGTGTGAAAAATCAAAAAGTAAGTAGAGAGTATAGCCACAATCTCATCTTGCTACAGTGTGGGAGTAAAAATAGCCCCAACCTCAAAGCTTCCAATCTCGGGGTGTGAGCAGAGTGAGGAGGGCAGTGAGCTTGGGGATCAAGCATCAGCAATTTGCAAATATTCAGGTGGAGTTTATAAAGGGCCTGCCAGTGCAAGTGCCAGGGGAGACTGGAAATCAAAGGGGAAACCTTGGGGTTTGGGAGATCAAGTGCATGCTGCTAGGAATTTAGAACTGTTTGCGATATAATTATTTTATAGACTTGGTGACTGTAACAGGTCTTTCCATTAGTTTACTGAGCTTTCTTAATGTATTTAAGTGAAAGTGTTCTTAAGCTTTCAAGTATGGATTCCCTGTTATTGAGACAGAATATTTTGGATTTGAAGTCAGGAAAAATTGTGGGACTAATGATCTTACAATTCAATGTTAAGCACAATAAAATACAATAAAATAAGAAAAATGTACAAATCATTAACCATTCATTGTATTTCTAGAGAGCTATGGTGATGCTTTACAAGCTGCCTGTTAGCATGTACCTGACATATAGCTTTCCCCAAGGATACTAGTTTCTGACTGGTTAAAAATTATTCAGATGAATTAATGAATTTTTGCTTTCTTAGCAGAAGTGGTATAGCCACCTTAGAGTTCTCAGTCATACAGAATTCTAGCTTACATAGAGTGATTCCTGTACCATGAAGAATACTGATAATCAGGGAAGCAGCTGGTGTTTGGATGTGATCTCACTTTGCCATGCTATATGGAAAGGGTTTTCAGGGTATTGCATTCAGACAAGTAGAACTTGGAATAATGTTATCCCAGAGCCTGCAGAGATGACTATGTGGGAACTTCTGAAACCTTGGGTGAAATGCTAACACTAGGAATGTCTCAAATTCAACTCTGGTTATGTTTTATTTCAAACAAACACAAAAGGGATGTTTTAGAATCTAATCCAAATATCATACAAAAAACAACAAAAGATAAAACAGCTATTAACTCTGCTGTTTTATCCTCAATTCTAATATGGGTACCACTGTGACAACACACGTGCGTGTTATACATAAATTTCACTAGAAACATTAGTCAACAGTATAGAAAACGATGTATGTTTGCTTTAACATATTGGGATTTTCAGTTTGAAGCAACCATTGACAATTTTTGAAGTAATTTGTCTATCATGTAACAGTTATGGATTCCTATTATTTTGAGATACAATTTGATATTTTTTTTGTATTTAACACAAAGTATTTTAAACATTTTAACGGTAGCAGCTTTCTTTGATAAGTTTTTGTGTGTGTATGTTTGAGTGTGTGTGAATGTGTGTGTGTGTGTGTGTGTGTGTGTGCTTGAGTGTGGGGATGGGGACAGAGAGGCTTTTATATTTTGTGGAATTTTCTTTGTTAGAACAGGAAGAAAAAATGTCTCAGATTTTAAATTCAGTGATTCTATAAGATTTTCTCCAGTGGACATCCATCTCATTGAACTTCTATATTTCCTGTTCATCGCACATTTAATGGAAGCATTACTCATCAAGACTTTAAGCAAAACTCAAACTTGTTTGTGAAGCTCCAGGAATACCAAAAAGCCTGAACCTCTCTTCCATTCTACTTTCCTGGTAATGTATCATCTTTGTTGCTCATAACATCACTGACAACGTCTGTGTCTATGTGACGTGCTCAAATCATAAAGAGAAAACTGACTGAAGGAGCCTCACAGAGGAACCCCAACAATGGAATACCAACTTTCACTTATGCACCAGGGGTGATGCAACAACTGTTTGGAAAGGACTGAGAAGTATTCTGGTAAAGAAGAGTGCTTCCCTGGCAGGTAGGAGGCTCTGTCTTTGGTTCCTAACACTTTATAAAGTGGGAATGATCATAGAAAGAAGCCTTACAGTCCCAGCACTAAAGAGGCAGAAGCTGGTGTATCAGGGGTTTGACATCATCCTTAGCTAAAGTTTTAGAGTTTGAG